TTTGTGATATTTTCAATCAATTTGGCTCAATTTGATGTTGGGAATCAACCTGAATCAAAGTATTTCAACCAAATACTGACTTCAATAAGAGTTTTTCTTCCAATATAAAGCAATTTTCAATCCAATTTTGCTCGATTTTAATACAGAAATAATTTTTCATTTATAATATTTTCAACAGATGAGACAATGTCAGAAAGCCGAAGAAAGGAGCTTCCACCAAGACAAGACCCTCGTTCGGACCGTTCCGATTCCAAAACGTCATCAATGCCAGAAGTGGAACCCAAAAAGGAAACCACCAAACGGCCCGCTGAAGAACCACCAGAACTCCCTCAAGAGCCGAAAAAACCACCCATTGAGCCGGTTTTAGAAGACGATCTTAGTGAAATCAGTGATGATGCTGACGATATCCTCAACCGAGATGAGGAAGTGTCTGAAGCGCCACCAGACGAAACTTTGGCCGAACAAACTGAAACTTTATCAGTTAAAGAGCAACAAAACTCGGCCGCATCCCAAAAATCCCAATCGCCGAGTCGTTCCCCGAACCGAAACGAGTCAATCGATGAGGAAAACATGGATTTGGACTTTGAGGAGATCTCGGAGGATGAGTTGGAAGAGGAGTCTCGAGTGAAAGGCATCGGGGATGCTTTGGGAGTGGATTGGGCGAGTTTAGTGGCCGAATCCCGCCCCCGAGTCAAGCCGATGAGTTCGGCGAAAAGGCGCTGGGAGAGTCATAATGTTCTTGTCAATCTTGGGATTTCGGTTGATTTAGCTGGCGAAGACTTGGTTAAAGACATATTAAATGAGCATGCGGAGGCTGATAATGAAAATAGTGTGAATGGTGTTGGGGAAATTGTCATTGCGCACCCCATTGGGGCTATACAAGTGGCAACTCGGGACAGGGAAGCCGTCAGAAAGGCACTATTTTCTAATGTTGGGCCCAATTGTAGAGCGCTGTCGGCCCGACGTGACCTTATGATACGCAGACATTTGTGTAATTTACCCTTGAAGGATACGTATGTGGAAGCCCCCAAAAGACACGACCCGGATTTATTAAAACTAGCAGTGCAAATGTTTGAACGGTGTTTATAGTCTTAAAGCTTCAGTTTTGTGTGTTTTGACAAATAAATAAGACAGGTCGGTTCCAAGTTCGATTTCTTGAGGAGCTTTCCCTCTGGAAATATAATTGAGTTATTTTTTAACATGTTTCAAGTGTGATGATATACTTAATAAATAGTCTTGCGTTCTTGGTCCCTTTCAAGACTCCCATTTCGCCATCAACCAAAAGCATTGATCCTTCTCTAAGTCCCAGAACATTGTATACGTTGTACTCCTCTGGGAGGCTGTGGTATTGCAAAATGCGTTCTTCTCGGGTCTCCCCCTTGTGGGTGGAGTCCGGGTCTGAGTCCAAATAGTGCGGATTGATGTTGAATGGGATGAGGTTCAAGGCGTTGAAACTTGGGGGGTACACAATGGGCATGTCGTTGGTGTTGTGAATGGAGGGTGCAGCGATGTTGGTCCCTGCACTGCTCCCAATGTACGGCACCCCGTCCTCAAAAACCCGCTCTCTGATCACTTTAACCAAACCCTTGTCGTAGAGGCTTTTGAGGAGGAGGAAAGTGTTGCCTCCCCCTACGAATATCGCCTCGGCGCGTTTCACCGCCTCGACGGGGTTGTCTCGGTGAATACCCTCGATTTGGTAGCCCCATTTAGCGAAGACAGGCCGGACTTTGGCCAAATAAGCGTCGTGGTCGACGGCAGCATAGGGTACGAAAAGCACAGTCGAGACGCGATTTCTACGAAATGAGTGAGTTTCTGGGGGGCTTTTAAGCGACTTACTTGTTGAGGAAGGTGTTGATGTCGGCGGCGGCGTACTCGAGGAAGCCGTGCCCGTGGACTACGGACGAAGACAGCAAAAGGAGGCGCGGACGGGACATTGGCACGAAACGAAACTTGAAGAATTGTTCATAAACTCTAGAAAGTGGGTTATCTGATAAGAAATTCGAGATTTTTAATGATAAAACAAGGGGGGAGGACCAGACTCAACTTACTTTTTTGAGGTTAGGTTCCCGGAATTTTGGTACGAATTTTTATAAAAACCAGACGGTTTCACATGGTTTACGACACTTGATAATTTTAAAACGCGTGTAAGAATCATGTAAATCAGTTTTTCATTCACATTTTAAGGAAGAAAAAACGATTCGCGCCACAAAATTTGAACGAAACTGACAAATTTGACAAATGGCGTGTATTACTGGTTGCATATAATTGTAATTAAATAAAAGTTTTAACAGAACAAAATTAATATTTTCTTTAAGTTTACGATAATTAATTTTTTCAAATTTATTTTTTGCTATTTACCTGACCAAAGCATGCAATTTATAGTAGTTGCAATTTAACTTTACAAACATAACCTTAGTTTAATTGAGTTTTGTTTTCGAAAGACAACTACTTTAGCAATTAGCTATGAGACTGGAAGAGTATTCGAACAATTGTCGCACTTGTTTGGCTACTTTAAGCGACAAGAAAACGTCCATTCGCAGTGAAAATGTTTCAATGATGCTCTTGGAGTGCACCTCAATTTCGGTATTTCCCTAGTTTCAAGTACACAATTTTCTACGTCCAGTTTCAGACTTCAGGCGAAGAGGACGGTTTAATGGAATACATTTGCGAATCATGCTATGAAAAATTACACCAGGCCTATGTTTTTAAGGAAAAATGCAGGGACGTTGATAAGTTTTTACGTGAGCTTTCTTATGCAGAATTGGACGTTGTTGGTAACACTTCCAAAACCACTTGTGTAGTAGACGAACCAGAGCAAATTATTTGTACTTTTTGCCGTAAAAATTTCACACGGAAGTCGTCATTACGAGTCCATCTTCAAAGACATTTCAGTGAGTTTTGGGTAAACTAAGACTCGTTATAATGCCACTATCACAGGAGATAACCCCCAGAAGTGTGACCAGTGTGGGAAGGTGTTCTCAACGAGATCCGACCTCAAAGCACACCAAGCGAGACACGACTCCCAACTGCTCAAATGTCACATTTGTGGACGCTGTTTTTCAACAAGAAATTCGTTAGGAAAACATATGAAAATCCACTCGGGTGTCAAACCGTTTCTTTGTCCACACTGTGGAAAAAAGTAGTCATAATTCCAAAAATTGTCAATAACTAAACAAGATTTGTTACAGTTTTCGCGTTAAAGACACCCTACAAACCCATTTAAAGTCACACACACGTGAAAATTTGTTAATGTGTCTCATTTGCGATAAACAATTTGCCGCAAGGGCGTCCCTATCCCTGCATTTGAAATCGCACACCGGGGAAGTCCCGCATCTTTGCTCCAGTTGCGGAAAACAGTTTAAATCCAGCTCAGAATTGAGAAATCATGAAGTTAGACATAATCGTGAAAAAATTCATATTTTGGTGGAAGAAATTTGTGAGGTTTGTGGTAAAAGGTGTCTTGAAGTATTTGTTCTCAACATTTTATTATTGCGTGTCAGTTATAGGTCTAAAGGTGGTTTAGCTAGGCACATGGTGGTACATGAGAGACAACCAACAATTCAATGTAACAATTGTAATAGGAATTTTTACACAGTTAACGATTTGAATGTGCACTCAATTGTGCACACGGGGGATTACCCGTTTTCGTGTCCAGAGTGTGGAAAAGGTTTTAATAGGAAAGGCAATTATGTACATCACGCTAAAAATGTTCACAATCTTGTAATTTAAGAGCAAAAATTGTTAAAATTTTAATAAAAATGTTTCGGCGATACCATATTTAAATTTGGCGCCGCGTAGTCGCCAACTCTTACAAGATAAATATACGTCGTTTCCTTTTACACATTTTTATACGGAGCTGAAAAGCCTGTTACATTGCTAATTGCTTAAGGACGTAATAAAAGAACAAATAATAAGTTTAATAGAAAAGCAATAAATCTTACACCGCTGTCTTTTTGAGTAAAAGCACGCGATTGCCACATTTTCAAAACTCAAATTTTGTTATACTCTAAAGCTCAAGCACGTAAAGATATTTTTACGTAAAGTCCAGATAAAGACATTAGATTGGCCAAAGGTACAATAAACAGAGTTAAAATAATTACAATTGAAGTAGCTTGTAGAAAAATAATGAATCTGGCAATGCTGCAGTTTTAATCTTGGGGTTTTTCACGCAATGTTGGCAGCTTTGACATCACGTGACTTAAAAACGACGGTTTTTATTTTCAAATAAGTGACGCGGTAAACAAGAGTGAACGTGTTTGTGGTGACGGTTATTATTGTTCAATTTCTATTTAAAATAAATATTTCGTGCGTGTTTTTTGTGTAAACTGCAAAATGGAGCCCGGTTTTGGTTATCTGGAATTCGTGCGAAAACCCGGCAAGTCCCCAAAGAGGTACCGCTTGCCGGAAACAGGCCCCACGACAATTGGGTCATCATTGTCGTGTGATATTCGCATTAAATCGCGGAAAGCAGCCCCCCAGCCGGTGTCCTGTGTTATTAGCTTGAACAATGGAGCGGTAATTTACAATTTAAATGAAAAACTTCGTATTAATTCCAAGTTTTTAGGCTATTTTAGAGAACACAAGTGACGATTTAATCCTCCACAATGGAAAAAAACTGAAGAAGAGTGTTTTTCTTAAAAACAATGACGAGTTTGTGATTACGGAAAAGCGTTTTCGATACATAAACGCAGGCGCCCCCTCCGTTACGGTAGTCTCACAATTTTACTGAAACCATGTGTGATGTTTTGAGTTTCAGGCCGGCCAGTCAATTTTTAATAAAAGACTTTCAGTCATGCCTGATTTTAAAGCAAGGACGGTGTCAAAAATCCCGATACCCTCAAGGTAAACATATTAAAATGTTAATTTTTTGTCATTTTTGATTTAATTCAGACATGCTACGCCGAGGAGGAGTTTATCGATTTCCAACTCCGCAATAAAGACGTCGAAAAGGTCCTGTTTGAGTGCACTACCAATCAGAAAACGCGGCCAAATGTCTGAGTGGAAAAGTAGTAGTGCTGTTAATGTTACCACTACAAGAAAATCACAAAATTTGGCAACAGTGGTCCGCAAATCTTTGTTTCTGAAAAATAAAGTGGAAACGTTCCATTCGTCTGATTCTGATGAGAGGAAATCAATTGCTTCCAACTTTGAGACTAAGACAACACCACCCCGAGGTGTCAAAAGGGGGCGCTCTTTCAGTACTGGAAGAGTTGTTAAAAGGACAAGACGGGAAGATACGGTGATTGTTTTAGTTAAAATTTTCTAATTGTTTTACTAATTGGAATTTTGTTTTAGTTTACTTTGAGTACTTCAATGTCCGGGGAAGGAGAATCACTTTACGACACTCTTCTTCAAATAATCAGTCCTCAAAAATCGGTCAAGAATGTCTCTGACGTGAGTGGCATTGAGGATTTTCTTGAAACTTCAAGTCTGGATTCTCCGAAACTCCAAACTCCGAAAGTTCAAAATGACGATTTGAGTGGAATTGAGAAAATTTTGAAAACTCCCAGAGCCACAAAATCGCCCAAGAATGATTTAACAAATGTCGAAAGAATTACAAAGATTTTTGGAACTACCAAAGTGCAGAAATCACCAGGAAATGATTTGACACGTGTCAGTGGAGTTAAGAAAATTTTGAAAACTCCGAAAGTTCAAAAATCGCCG